ACATAGTTGCTTAGAGTTGCAGCTGAGAGGCCGGCAAGTTAGGCGGGGAACGTTGGAGTTCGCCAGTCACTGGAGCAAGCAAGCCTCCCTGTTCGCTTCAGTGCATGGCTGCCGGCCGCCATCTTGGCTGACAGTTAATTTGCATAAGGATATGCTGATTAGCCAATGGGAAGGGTAGCGGTCGTACGCTAATTACCATGTTTCTCTTTTATTAGTGTAGATATATATATATAATCTCCTATACTTCCTATTGAAGACTTTAACTCCTTTTTTTCCCCTTTAAATCCTTTTTTTTCCCTTTCCTTTAACTCAGCAATCATCCTAAGAAATTTCAATTCAAAGATGCAACATATCCAACTCTTGGGTCATTTATCTCTTCAACCATGAACTCTAAAAGGCCTTCCTTTGTTCCGCGCCGCCCCCTGGTGGTCAGTACACATCATAACGAGTGATCGAACTCCTGGTCTCCCATTTGAACTCCTGAGGTGATACTGCATATTAGCTTCCCATTGAAGACTTTAACTCCTTTTTTTCCCCTTTCCTTTAACTCGACGATCATTCTAAGAAATTTCAATTCAAAGATGCAACACATCCAATTCTTGGGTCATTTATCTCTTCAACCATGAACTCTAAAAACAAAAAGCCAGGAAATTGCCATCACCTGAAATAATGTCTCACAAAATCCATAAATCAGATGACCATTCTCAGAAGACAAGTCTCCGTGGTTGCTCAAATTTCTGCCCATAGTGAAAGTGAGGTACTTATTGCCCTTTGTTCTGAACCATCTTTAAAAGAATGGGTGGATAGAAAATTGATTCAAACACTGAGAGTCTCCCTCCAGAAGAAGGGACATGTTTGCTTGCAACCTTGAAAGGTAGATAGTGTCTCCCTCCAGAGTAAAGGCAGTTGCATAATAAATGCAGTTTCTTCTACCAGAGCAAAGGGCAGGCATGCTCACTGACCATCAAAACATTTGGGTTCCCTAAATTTAAGTTTCCTCTCCTGTCATCAAACTGCTCCTGGTGTAGGTGTCATCTGGCCCTTTGTGTTACCTTGTGGAACTTGAGGCCTGAAGAACCAGTAAAAAAAATGATTATATTCTGGCTAATTTTATTCCTGTAAGTAATCAACCTTCACTCATCTCTGCACTGAGAGTCTGTGTTTTCCACCCACATCCATAAAACTGTGGCAAGCTAACTGATTACCTTGCACATAGGGTAAAAATCTCAAACCCTTCACAGTTCTTGAAATCCATCTCTACTTATAATCTCTTGGATACTCTTTCATAATGCCCGCTAACATTGTCTGTCTGCCATCTTATTCTTTTCTTGGTCACTAAACTTACTTGAAGTGCAGATGTCCTCTCTTGTCTTTATCAATTTCTAATTAATACCTTGAACCACATTGCCAGTGTATTATTTCATTAACTTCACGTGGAAAAATCCTAGTTTTTATGATTCTAACAATCTCCTTTCACTCTTCCTTATATGCAGCCTGCTGAGAACTCAGGGGGAAAATAAAATAGACAGCAGATTGGTATCAATACAACTTAATGATTACCAACGTCAACTAACTCCTCACTGTTATTCTAGTCATATCTCAATTAATTTAGGGACGGACCTTTGAAACTCATTCAAATCTCTTCAACTTCAGCACTATGCTCCAACTTCCTTAGTTCTTAGCAAAGCATCCTATTTCATAGGGAGTGGGTAGCCATAAAATGGGATCCACTTGAACTTTCCATCGCCCATAGCAGCGGTTCTCAGCCAATGTGGCTCAGTGGTTGAGCATCAACCTTGCATATCAGATATTTACATTATGATTCATAATAGTAGCAAAATTACAGTTATGAAGTAGCAATGAAAATAATTTTATGGTTGGGGGTCACCACAACATAAGGAACTGTATTAAAGGGTCTCGGCATTAGGAAGATTGAGAACCACTGGCCCTAGAGTATAAATCTATGCTCTTTTTTTTTTTTTTTACATAAAACACAATATATGAATATTTCTCCTTGATAAAACATAAAAGTCACATATTTCATTTAAAATGCATTGAAATTAATACAATAATCCTAAACATATCTAGCACAAAGGTTTTTATTTCCGATGTTTATTAAATTTTGTCTCCTTAAGCAAGATAAACCAGCTGATCCAATAATGACTGTTTTCTCTGCCTCCTGAGTGGGAAATGAGTCCATGGAAATGCGTCCCTGTTTCTGATACAACACTGTTGGGAGAGATGGAGCTATCGGAAAGCTTACCCTGCTCTGAGCTGTCAGGAGAAAGGGAAGTCGGGAGTTTTACAAGAGAACTATAAGGGTTGAGACTGCTGCAGTTGGCACTTTTTCCTTATTTGAACAATGCCTTGGATCCAACCTTACCCTGCGAATTTCTCTGAATAGAATGTTGGCGAAACACCCAAAACAGTGCAGTAAAGTCAAGGTTCAAGATAAATTACTAACATAGCATCTTACTTCAGGCAAAACAACCAGGGAAAGAAAACCTGAACCATTAAAACCACCTGCACCGGAAGCAAGGTGAGAAAACAGGAGCCATGCGTAGTGGTGCCACATAGTTTTGAATTCAAAAAATAAGTTAGCTTCCCCTTTGTTAAAAAAGAAATGTACTTGAAGTGAAGAGTGCTCTTGATTATATCTAGACACATTTGTGTATTAGAGAAGGTTAAAGAAAGGTGTTTTGAATCCCTCTGGAAACATTTTTGCCAAAAAAGCTTCCAAGGCCCATCTTGTCATGTGTGCAGTGGACTGCATCTTGTTGTGCAGTTCGGGCAGTCTCGCATGTGGCACCATCCTTTCTGAATCCCCACACTCTCTCTGAGAACGTAGTAGCATAATTTAAATGGACAGGCAGACCTCATTTTATTGTTCTTCACTTTATTGTGCTTCACAGGTGTTGAATTTTTTTTTTTAGGAATTGAAGACAAGATCCTCCACCAGCAAAAAGATTACAACTTGCCTTATTGCAATACTTGCTGTATCATGGTGGTCTGGAACTGAACGTGCAATAATTCCAAGGTATGACTGTACTCAAGACTATTGCTACTATTAGATCCAGTGTCCTCCTTTCTAGTCTGTTTCTTTCTTTCTTTCTTTTTTTTTAAATCTCATTGCACTTTTGACATAGAGGATCACTCATCTTTCTTAAATGCCTTTTCCTTGGCTTTTATAAGTTACTTTTCCACATTTTTCCCCTTCCTTTCTTTCTTCTTAGTCTTTGCCTTTTTCTCTGGTTTCTCCTCCTCAAATAACAATGAAATATTGGAGTTCCTCGGGTCTCACTTCTAGGTACTTCTCTTTCTCCTAAACAGACTGTCTCTAATTAGGTGATTTCATCCACTTTGAGAACTCCAAAATGAAATTCTGGACCAACAACTCCAAAATCTCAATTTATAGTGTAGGACTTCTCTTCCAATTTTCAGGACTTCTATCTTGGAGCCTACTGACTTTATCTCTAGGCATCACAAACAAAAGTATACAAATTGATCTCATCATTCCCCATCTTATTCTCTGCAACTCACTGAAACACTTGCACATTTTAAAGTTTGTATCTAAAACATTTCAACATAAATTGAATATTTGCAAAAGATGTAGTTTTTAGAATGTTATACAGAGTGACATGCAAAAACATCACTGTTAATTTCTATCTGCAGGGAAAAGGGAGTAACAGGTATTGGCTTACTCCTGAGCAAATAGCTATAAATCTGGACAATATATTATATGAAGCAACTATTTTTAAGCATTGGACCCCAAATAATTCAGTGCTGTGATCCTTGAAAGAAAGGAAATATAGGAAATGGCCCCTACGTTCACCGTGGCTTTCTTCAGGGCACTTTACAAGCTATCTCAGAGGTAACTGGAGCTCAGAGAGTGGTGGTCCCTCTGGGCAAAGAAAAGGGTGAATGGTGTTTATGTTTACTGAAGTGGTTGAAGTTATTATTAGACATATTATTACAAATACCATAAACTCAAACATAACATTAATATCTTACAAGATCCTCTATCTATAATAATAAAAGCATACTTTGCTATTTAGACCAGACCACTTTCCAGATGAAGCCCGGGCTGCGAGGGAAGCCCAGGTTCCAGGTGTCAGAGGGAAGCCGGTGCTGGCAGCTGGGGGAAGGCCTACTCTTGCACGAATTTCGTGCATCGGGCATCTAGTATATTAAATAAGTAAAATATTTAAAATGCATTTATAAATGAGATAAAATACCTTTTATTATTTATTTACTAATGGATTTCACCTGTTGATGCAATGATTCCTCTTCCTAGTTTTAAGTTTTATAAGCAATAAGCAATTTAAAAAAACCCTAATTTAAACAAATAAGTATATAAAACCAGGAATGTTTTAAAAATATTTTCAATGTCACTCATTTTAACCTACATTCTAAAAGTCACATAGTGATAGATCACAAAAAATATTTATTAATGACCTCTCTGCTGATAACTAATGTGTGCAAATACAATTGATTTTTATGTATTAATCTTGTATCCATTCATCTTTCTAAATTCTTATTTCTAATAAGTTATCTGTAGTTTCTTTTGGTTTTCTATGTAAAGAATTACTTCACCTGCCAGTTAGGACAATTTTATTTTCTCTTTTTCATTCCTTAGATAGTAATGTTCTTCTCTTATCTTCTGCATTTTGAGCTCAAATACAATATAAAATAGAAGTGATGACAGGATTAAGTTGCTCACCTTAATTTTAAGTGGAATGCTTCTGAAATATAGGTTTTCATTAAGTGTTTTTTTTAATCAAATTGAAGACTATTCCTAATTTACAAAAATTATTTTAAATTTTAAGCATGCTTTTACATTATTTTCAAATGTTTTATTCTGTTTATTGAAATGATATAATCTATTAATATCAGTAATATGGAGATGTCTTTACATACGTGGAGCATATTGAATTTAGCTATTATGTGTTTTTATTATGTTGCTATATTGGATTTGCTAATATTTTGTTTAGAAATGTTGCATCTATAGTCATTAGGTAAATAGGTGGGTAAAATTTCTTTCTTGAATTTTCATTTCCTGACTGTTTTAAAGAGTAAACTGACCTCTTAGAATATGCTGAAGAGTGTTCCTTCTTCCACTATGAAAGATCTTACACAACTGTCAAAACATCAGACAAGCACTCAATATCTCTAACCAAAAAGCTTAATTTATGCCGTATGCAACTAAAAGAGAGCTACCATGGTCGGTTATAGTCACTTTGGACAAAATAAATGGCTGATAACATGGTTTTGGGGGGAAGATTTATTTTGGTTTATGATAGATAGAGGGATAGGAGTGAGTTGATATCGATGCTATCGAAACATGGCTTGTGTTGGTTCCAGAGGTGGGGTGGGACAATATTATTCTTAGGAGTATAGCTTATAGTGAAAATTGGTTGGCTTTCAAAGGCATGGTCACAGAACTTGTCATTGATTAATTAAGCAGGGTTAAAACCACTTCTTTTACCAATATTCTGATACCAACCGAGTCTCCTACAATTAAATTCTGACACTAACTATCTGGAGTTTCCACAGGTCTGCCCCTACTTCAGACACCAGTCTACTGTCCTGGGTACTTAGGCTACCTGCACTCCTGTCTGATTTGCTAATATTTGGGAGTTCCCACAATCTGTCTCCCTTCATATTGGATAAATTTTCTACAAAAACCAACAGAACTCAGGAAAGTTCTATAGCTAAGATTACAGTTTTACTATAAAGGAGACAACTCAGGAATAGCCAAATGGAAGAAAGGCATAGGGCAAGGTTAGATGATTGGGGGAAGAAATTTCAACCTCTTTGTTCCCCTGCTCTTCCAGAGGTGGGACTGAAAGTTCCAACCTTCTTATTTTATGCTTGGCCAGCCCCCATCTGTTGAAACTTCCTGTGGGCCCACCAAAACCCACTTTACTAGCATAAACTCATTGTGGCTTGTTAGGAGTAACAAAAGATGCTTCCATCACTCAGAAAATTCCAAAGGTTTTTGAAGCCAAAAACATAGGGCAAAGACCAGATATATCTTTTTCATTATACCACACATGATTATAGAGCAGGGGTAGGGAACCTATTTTTTTGCCAAGGGCCATTTGGATATTTATGACATCATTCGTGGGCCATACAAAATTGTCATCTTAAAAGTCAGTCTGCTATATTTGGTCAAACATTTAATTAACTCACCCCTAATGCTTTGGCAGGGCCAGATAAAATGATTTCAAAGATCTTATATGTCCTGCAGGCTGTACATTCCCCACCCTTGCTATAGAGGAATCAACAATTTCTCAGTAGTGTGGGAGCTTTTAAAATTCTCAGGTTCCCCTTCCTTTTTGTTTTTCCTTAATTAAAGCTGCACATGAGACCATCAGGGACTGTCCAGATTTCCATCTCTTTTGTTGATTTCCCTCGAAAATGCAGTTTATTTACAGAAGTCTGATTTTTCACTGAGTTTCAGTCAGCATGATTTTATCCTGTTTTTGGCTTTGAGTCATTCATTGTATCATCTATTGGGACAAAGCTCGTGTAGAATAATTTAATATTCTGGTCAACAGTTATTAGATAACATTAAAGAAATATAAATAAAGTATAATAAAAAGGAATTGGAAGGCTCTCTGGAAGATTTTCTAGGCCTGGTCAAGGAAATAAAAGTTACAGATGAGCCATTAATTGGTCATATCCTTTGCCATCCTAGAAAAGATTTATTCTTAATGTTTGTTTACTAAGAAGGCGAATGTGTCCTGAATATGATGTGTAGCCTCAGGGAAGAATTTGTCAAACGCCAATTTGAAGCTGTCTAGTGTTATCTTAATCTCATGTATTTTATAACTTGGTCGTTCCCACTGTCTCTTTTCAGAATTTAGGGCCAAATACGAAATATCTCCATGGATTTGTCTTTCTGCTTCATGTCGAGTCATTGCTTAAAGACTTTAGTCATTATAGCCTGTTAAGATTAATGATCTGCTAGCATGTTTTTTTCTAGCTTCCTTATGAAGCTCTCTCTTATGTGTTCAACACAAGACAATTCAGGGCAAAACAAAAACACATGAGACTAGACTATATGAATAGTCAAGCAAAAGGGAAAGGAAAGAATAAGCAGATTAACTAAAAAAATTATCCAATATTGCAACAAAAAATCTATATACAAAAGCATATATCTAATTTTCTTTACCATATAATTCCCTTCCAAACCAAAAGGCCTGACTGTCATATACTATGATTTAGGCCTAATTGCCTTACATGACAACCTACTGGTTAAAATTTCTAGTGTTTAAAAAAATAGGAAAGGAAAGAATAAGCAGATTAACTAAAAAAATTATCCAATATTGCAACAAAAAATCTATATACAAAAGCATATATCTAATTTTCTTTACCATATAATTCCCTTCAGGCCTAATTGCCTTACATAACAACCTACTGGTTAAAATGTCTAGTGTTTAAAAAAATAATAACAGCCCTAGCTGCTTTAGCTCAGTGGATAGAGTGTCGGCCTGCAGACTGAAGGGTTCCTGGTTCGATTCCAGTCAAGGGCACATACTTGGGTTGTAGGCTCGATTCCTAGTGGGAGGGGGGTGGTGCAGGAGGCAGCCAATAAATGATTCTCTCTCATCATTGATGTTTCTATCTCTCTCTCTCTCTCTCTTATTTCCTCTCTGAAATCAATAAAATATATATTTAAAAAAACAAAAACAAAAAAAAACAAGTAGTAACAACAACACTACAAATCAAAATTTGGGTACAAGGTACCTGGTTAAGATGCTTATTGGTCTGAAAGCCAGGGTATGAAGGGCAATGGGAGCCATGCTAGGTTTGGTTGAGTAAAGAGAACTACTGTTCTTATACAGGAGTTTGGCAAAGAGTTTGTTTTGTGTTGTGTTGGGCATAGGGGTAGAAGTGGATTGTTGTCATTTTTAGAGCATGCTTTATATTGGTTACAGAGGCAGGAGCGGGTTATCAATATTTGAATTATGTTTTCTATTAATTACCTATGTGTTTTTTTTGTTGTTGATCACATA